AAAAATCGGCCACTAAGCATACAAGTGAGGGCTAGCCGATTTCAAGAAGTGTATCATTTCTCTCTAAGTTATTCCAAGTGCATTTGGTGTTGTGTGAGACATTTGAGGCATCACACTTGAGGTGCTAGGCTCACAAGGTTTTCAAGGAATCCTAACTACTACAAGGTATGTATTTCCTACTAACTTTTATGTTTAAATGTTCTCCATGTATGCTATATAGGTTAAGAACCTTGGAAAAAAAAATTTGCATGTATTATAGAAAAACATAGATCCAAGGTTTTTAGGGTTGCATGTACACCATAGGAGTGTTAGAATGCTCAAAACCCTTCAAATGTGGCAGCATGCTTGCCACGATGTGGTGATAGTTAATGTGCAAAAATCTTAATTTCTGTTCTTAAGGCCCTATTTAAAGGAAGTGATGGTTAGGGTTTCCTCCACCCCAGCCTCTATCACATCCCAAAGCATCTTTGAGTAACCATATCCTCCCTTTGAAGTTCTTGACTCATTCTAGTTTCCTTGGTGCACTTTAAAGGAAAAAGAAGAAGGTTTTGGTGCAAGGATCGAGCAAGCAACTCCTCTCCATCTTTGGAATCACTATCTGGACCATTTGTAAGACTTCAAGACTTGATCTTTTTGGTTCCTTCTTAGTAGATCTAGTTTGGTTTCATTTATGGGTTCATACTTGTGTCTGGAATTGTTTTATGAGATAAGGTTTGCAACTTTATAGCTTATATTGGTCCCTTGGTCACTATATCTTCTAGATCTAGAAGTTGAATGATTTTTAAGAGCCATGCATGTGATTTAGGTCATTCTCATCTTTTGACCTAGTTGGGTGAAGGACATACATGGGTCATGCATGTCTATAAAGTTTGGATTTTTATGGACCACTAGGGTCCAAAGAAGCTTACTCGAAAGTATGAGCAATTGGCTTAGCAAATTAAGGACTAAATCCATTTAGTAGTCCAAATTGCAGTAACCACAACATTGTAAAGAGGTTACCATGATGTGGCGAAGAAGGGTTTCGCGACTGTTTTGCCTGGACTTTCCATGGTGTAGTGGCATGTTGTACACGCCATGGTAGAATATTCTAATCATGACTAAGCTGGGTAGCATGGCATGGCCATGGATTGGCCACAACGAGGAGGTCAATTGACCATTGACTTTTGTCCTGGTTTGAATTTTGGTCAATTGCTAGTTTTAGAAGGTAAACTAAGGATTTACCTTGTATGATTCAAAAGGAGGTGTGTAACAACCGCTTTTCGACTGTGAGAGCTCGTTAGCTGTCAATTGCGTTTATGAGGTGAGTTTTCTCACTATATTACGCAGGATGCTAGACAATCTTTGTGACTCTTGCATGAAAGTCTATGGTTGGATCACAACACTTGTATGAAATACTGTTGTTGGATCATAACACTTGTATGGAAGACCATGGTTGGATCATGGCAGGAAAGACTGCAGTTGGACTGTAGCAATGGAAGTGATTGTAAGACTATGGTTGGATCATAATTGTAACGCTAGTGCTCCAGGTATTTTTTATTTTAGCATTAATTCATTAAAAATATTGCAAAATTGGTCCCTACGTTGGGCGTACGAGATGGGTACAACGGGCGTAGGTCCTTAAAGATGGGTACGGATTCCCTCACGTACGTTGGGCGTACGTGTGTGTACGCATGCAGAGAGAGGGAAAACCCTAATTTTTAGGGTTTGGACCCTATTTAAAGAACTTTATGTTGGATTAGGTGTCTAAGCCCATCACTATAATTGGTATATGCTTGAATTGATAGAAGCACCGTCATTTTGGGTTGCCTTCACTCTTGCAACTTGACAGGATGACTTTTGGAGAGAAGCTGAATTTATTATTTGTAATAATAAATTGATATAAATGATTTATTAATATGTTATGAAAATAATATTTTAATTATAAATCATGTTATTTAATTAATATTTAATCAGAAATTAATTTGGAATTAGTTTTGGGATTAAAGGAATTAATTAAAAGTATAGGGGTTGTTTTGCAATTAATTGATAGTTGTGAAATAGGGCTCTTGGACTCCTTAGATAGGAATGGACGAAAATTATAGGGAGGCCCTATAAGTTTTCGTCCAAGGCTTCTAAATGAGGAGTCCATGGGCTGCTTAGGCCTTAAGCATGAAATTAGGGTTTCCATCTGCAAACTCTAGCTTTGGGACTAAGCAACCTCAAGTATAAAAGGAGCCTAACCCTTTGGATTTTCGCCCACTTGCTTCTAACCCTAGCATAGCCGAAACTTTGGTGTTATCTCCTCCTCTCTCCTCTCGTCCTCTTGCAAAGAGTGTTTGTAAGCCATTAGAGGTGTCACATTTGAGGCAGTTGCTCTCAAGAGTTCAAGATCTAAAAGGATTAATTGTTATTGCTATATAACAATTGAGGTATGTATCTAAACCCTAGTATTAGGTTAATTTCTATTATTATAGATGCATATTGGGGTTTCTATTTTGTATTAAAGTTTTCATGTTCAACTAGTGAAAACCTAGATCCAAAAGCATTAGGGTTGCATGAACACATAGGATTTGTAGTTATGCTCAAAACCCATCACTTTATGGCCTTAAACCCTTTCCTACCTCCAACCTCCATCTCTCTTAGCCTCCATCTTGAAACCCTAATCCATGTGTGCAAAAAATGAAGCTTTTAGTGATATTTTGGTGTTCTTGGTGGTGAAGGAAAGCCTTTCGAGTTGTGGTGTTGCTCTTAAGCCTTTGGATCCAGATTCTTCTCATCTGTGTGCATCTTTAGGAAGTATAGAGTTGAAATCTTGATGATTGCTTTGATAGATATTGTTTAAGATTAGATTTATGTTCTTTTGTCCCAAAATCTTGATCTTTGTGAGTATGGAATACTCCAGAGCTTTTGAGCTGTCTTTTCAGGCACTTTAGAGTGTTTAGTGTAATAAAATGCAAGCTTGGACATTGTTATTCTTCCATGCAAGAGTTATGGAGTTTTAGATGGTTAAATGAGTTAGGTTTTTGGTGTTGGGCTCCTTGTAGCCATGCAAAGGCATAATGGTTGAAAATTTATGATTTTAAACGTTTACTGGAGCTAGATATGAATTTTGGACGTTAAGTCTTAAAGCATTAAGACCTTAATAAAAGGTCTAGACTTTTGAAGAGTAATTCGGGCGTAACCTTGAGTACGCCGCGTGTACTGGATCGTTGCCTCGTAATCCTTCCGCATCAAGTGTTGTACGCAGGGCGTAATAAGTGGTACGTAGGGCGTACTACCAGGAAACCCATTTGGGCCATTTTTGGGCCTTGGGCCCTAGGAGTTTTGGGGGCCTTGTATAGTTAGGTCGTGGATAGGAAGGGCAAAATGTTCTTTTGCCCTTAGATAGATAAAGGATGAATTAGGCCTTCATTTATGGATTAATACTGATTATTAATTGGGATTGTTATTGGATTATGATTAGTGTGAGGAGCCGTGTTAGCAGCAGTTCGAGTGTGCGATTCAGTTATCTTCAGTTAGAGGTGAGTCTTCTTAGCACACTAGTAGGTCGAAAGCACCAAAGTCGGCCCACTGATTTGTATGTGTAGGGTGTATGTCATTATGTGACTATTACTTTTGCGACTGTATGATATATGCATGGAGCCAATTTGGACTCAGAGTCATTATGGACTCGATGTTGATACAGACTCGACACAACTATTTTTTGTTACATAGGGTTGATACGGACCCGAGCTTGTTACGGACCTGACACAGCCACGTGATGTTATACTTATGTGTAGGGTGTATGAGGTATTTTGGGGAAGCTCACTAAGCTTTATGCTTATAGATATGTTTTTGGTTTCAGGTACTTCCGGTACAAAAGGGAAGAGTCCGGTATGATGGCAGAGCATCCCCCCCCCCCTCATGATTTCCGCATTTTCTGATCTCTGTTACTCTGATATTTTGTGATAGATTGTATTTTGGATGATTTCGAGACATGTGATGTTTGGATTGATGAATTTAAAAATGAAATTTTTACTTATGGATTTTGGATCGTTACAATAACATTCACATGTGTTAAAATACAGCCCTAGGGCTGGGCCCACTAATATGTATGGTATGTGGTATTTTGAGGAACTTACTAAGCTTTGTGGTTACAGTTTTATGTTAAAATGTTTCAAGTACTTCTGGTTCCAAAGGGAGGGCCCGACATGATTGCATCGCATCCACCGGAAATTCCGCACTTATGATTTTGTTATTACTCTGATTTTATTCTGAAACATCTTTCGATACTCTGTCTTCTTGAAGTAATGAATGAATGATTTGTTTGATTTAAAAACGAAAATTTTTACCTTGTATTTTGGGAGGTTACAACAACCAACAAATAAATTGATCTGAGACACACTTGAAATTAACAAACATTCATTTTGCAACGCTAAGTTTCCACATTTTTTGTTATAATTTCTGAAATCGGACTTTGATTTATGAGATTGTTTTGGTTTGACCAGTGAGGTCGTAAGAAGAGTTGTAGGCTTCATTAGATGGGCACGTTAGGTGTAGTGGTTGTGTCCAAGTCTAATGTAATAATAGCCAGAAATATATAAATGAATGATAGATTGGTAATTTCACAAGTACTTAGCTTTTATATTCTAACAATGATAGCCAAAAGACTTATCGGTGCAACGTTTTCAAATCACAGGATATCTCACCCTGTCAAAGAATTTACATAGGAACTATATTTGGTCCATTTTATAAATGATAAGGACCATTTATGTAATTTTGTCTAATTTATATGTTTATATATACTCAGGTGCTAGAAGCCTGCAAGAAAATAAGTGATTAGTTATCCTTAAAGACTTTTTGTTCCAAGAATCTTCTAACCAAAACCCTGTTGCCACCAACTTCTATCCTCTCTTTTTCAAATGATAGTTGGTTCGCTCACCTCCTAATTTTGTCCAGATTACCCCTCATCTGAACCGGCCGGTTCACAATCACACCTACTTATATACTCCTAACCTTCACCACCATTATTCCACATTCTTCTTCTCCCATGGCTCTAAGAAAACCCAACGCATGGAAAACCATTCTACTCGGTTGTTTCACAAACAAAACAGTTCGCTTAGACCCACAGACTCTTGTTTCTAAAACGGGTACTTCACAGAGATTATCAATATCCGATGTTAGTTCATCACTTTCCATCATCAATGGACTTTCGAATTCTATCGTTGGGTGGGACCTTCATGAATTCACTATGGCGGAACTTACGATGATTACACATGATTTCGCATCTAGTAATTATCTTGGTGAAGGTGGGTTCGGAACGGTTCATAAGGGTTTTATAGATGATAAACTTAGACCGGGTTTAGAGGCTCAACCGGTTGCCGTCAAGCTCTTGGATTTAGATGGTGGTCAAGGCCACAATGAATGGCTTGTAAGCATATAAATAAATAACCATTTTTTTTTCTTCTTTTATATCAAATCTTTACTGATTTTGGATTTCTTTTATAAATTTATAGACTGAAGTGACGTTTTTGGGGCAATTGAGGCATCCTCATCTTGTGAAGTTGATTGGTTATTGTTGTGAGGAGAAGAACAGGCTTCTTGTTTATGAATACATGACAAGGGGCAATTTGGAAAGTCAATTATTCAGAAGTAATTTTTTTTAATCTCTTTATAAAGTTTCAATCTTTTAGATATAATTATGCACAATATTAATCAAGATCTTGTTATTTATATATAAATTCAGGGTATTCAATCTCATTGCCATGGTTGACCCGGATTCAAATAGCACTTGGTGCGGCAAAAGGTCTCGCCTTTCTTCATGGCGAGGACAAACCCGTCATTTACCGCGACTTTAAAACTTCGAATATATTATTAGCATCGGTAATTTCTTATATTCTTTTGTTCATCGATCTTTATAATAACTTTATATCATCTTTTTCTTTTTCCTTTTCTCTTTTCTGATTCTAATATGTTAACAGGATTATACTGCTAAACTATCGGATTTTGGGCTAGCGAAAGATGGACCAGAAGGAGATGAGACGCACGTGAGTACACGTGTCATGGGGACACACGGATATGCGGCGCCGGAGTATATCATGACCGGTCATTTGACCACCATGAGCGACGTTTACAGCTTCGGGGTGGTTTTGTTAGAGCTATTAACGGGGAAAAGATCGATGGATAAAAAACGACCAAATCGAGAACAGTGTTTAGTGGAATGGGCACGACCGCTTTTGAAAGATTCGAGTAATCTTGATAGAATAATGGATTGTAAACTCGATGGTCATTTTCCGGTGGAAGGGGCAAAGAAGGCGGCGGCGTTGGCTAGCCGGTGTCTAAGCCACCACCCGAAATGCCGACCTGCTATGACGGAAGTGGTGAAGACGTTGGAACATATACTGGAGTTGGACGATTTGGAAGTTGGTTCGTTTGTGTATATTGCTCCTAAAGAAGGAGAAAAAGGTGTAGAAAAAGAGAAAGAGGGAGATAAGGATGTTAGTAGGAGTAGGAGTGGGAGTAGTAGCTCCGGCGAGAAGGCGGAGGTAGTGGTGGTTGTTGAGGAGAAAGAACATGGCCGCCGGCGGGAAGGTGAAAAGAAAGGTCATAGGCATAAACACAGGATAAGGTCAATGAGGTCACGAGCTGTGTACTCTGATACAGCTTTGTATAAGAATTTTAAGAAGGGTACGAATAGTCCACTTTTGCCTTTGCCCCAACCCAAAGTAAATGGAGGTGTGAATTTGTTAAAATGTTAAATTTTGTTTATATTTAGGGTAGTTTTTAAGATTGTTATTTCTTTTTGTATCATTTAAAAAGAAGAGAAAAGAGGTTTATTTGGTAGTTGGTATCAAGATTTACTAGTATATGTAGTAATTCATCTTCGAAGGAAGATTTGTAACAATACATCAAAAGTAATAATATCTAAGGTCAATTGTTAATCATTTTCTTTTTTGTTTCAAAGTAATTGTTTGTGGTTAGAATCAAATTCGGAAAGCAACTGTTGCGATTTTTAAATTTGCTTATCAATGTTTTATATACTTATTGCTGTCAAAATTTTAATATCGGTCGTCAAATACTGCTATTTAAAATCAAGGTTATCTCAGTGGTATAACGGTTTTTTAATATTAAGTATAATTTATAATTTCATATTATATTTATATATTAGAGTATTAATATTATATATTACATAAACATATATGATATATTGACACAAATTAAGAATTTAAAACTATAACTTCATAAATTCGTTAATTTATGTTTCTAAAGGCTATAACATATATTCAGAGTGAGATGATTGATTGCTTCTATGCTTCATAAATTCATAAATTGTATTGATTGTTTCATAAATTCATAAATTAACGAGATCATAAGTGTGAAACAATGAAAGAGAAACATTTAACATTAAATGATTAAAGAAAACATCACATTTAACATTTAACATAGATTCACAGTCAGTGATTGAAGCATTTGACAGTCACCAGTTTATAATTGTGAACTATTGAAACATTGTATGTCCAAGTGTGTGTGTGTACAAAGGAAAGGAATAAAGGGAAAAACACATAACTAGTATTGTCGAGTAGCCAAATGGCCAAAATGTGAACGAAAGTGCAAATCGGTTGTAGTGTCGCTATAGCAGTGATGTGTATCGCGGTAAATAGCGCTCAATAGCGCCGCTAATATCATATCCGTTATTCGTAACACTATTTTGAAATAGTGGTTTGTAGCTCCGATAAACGCTATAACATCAATATAGCGCGTTATTGATAGCATAGCTAATGTTTATTTGTCAGATATGACAAGATATCAATTTATTTTTCTTAAACTGTATACCTTATAAACTATAGTTGGTATAAAAAAGAGTTGATATAAGTATCGTACAAAGTATATTTGCAATCTAATTATTTGGCTACCAACAACTTTGTTGATTATTAATTAGAAATGATATATGTCAACTTTTTTCTAGTTTTCAACTGTAATAGTTAAAAGTCATCAAGGGCACGAGACAATTTTGCCGTCTACTAATTAAATTAGTAAAGTTTTTTTTTAGTTTATTAAAAAAAATATTTAGTAAATTTTTTTAATTTAACATGATAATAACTATTGACTATTGTAACACCCGTTTCAGACATGGGTCTATTCATTTATTTTTCAAAATTTTATTTTTGGGCGGCCACGACGTTGTTGGGCTTCACCACGGCGCGACGTTATTTCTCTTGACCGCGGATTAAAATGACCCGCCACAGCGTGGCAATGGGTGCCATGTCGTGGCAGCCGATTTTGGAGAAACCCTAATCCCTAGGCTTTGGGCCCCATATAAAGGACATTATGGATAGGGTTTCGTGATATTTCAGCCTCCATCACCCTCTCAAGACCAGAAACCCTAACCCTAGCCTCCCTTGTGTGACATTGAGTTTTTGTGGTGTTTGGTTGCATTTTGAAGGAAGAAGATAAAGGTGCTAGCCCAAAGATCAAGCAAAAACTCCTCCCATCCTTGGAATCACTCTCTGGACCATTGGTAAGTCCTCAAGTTTCCATCTTGATGATTCTTTGGTTGTAGATCTAACTTATTTAGCTTATTTTGTTCCATAAGTGATGTTTGATTGGTTTAATGTGATAAAGATTGCAACTTTATGACTATCTTGAGTCCTATGAGCAATATATCTTGTAGAAATAGACTTTGGTTGGGATTCTTAGCCTTGCATGAGTTTTGATCACCTTTTTGTTCATTTTAACCTAAAATGGAATTTAGACATGCAATGGTCATGCATGTCTATAAAGCACCCAAATTTATATTAGATCTGGTATTAGAAACTCCTCTAGAGTTGGTTGGACTAAAGGCTTTGAGGAAAAGTGCTTAATGGTAAAGCCCATGTCATGATTTTCCATTTATTAGACCTTTGATAAGAGATCTTGTCTTATTGAAGTGTCTTAATGGATAAAGTTGGAAACTTTATCCATTAAGGCGTTGAGAAGGAGTAGATCTGGGTTTTTGAGCCTTTGAATTTGAGTTAAAAGCAGCTTAACTCGATTATGCTAATCAGACTGTTCCTCATGGCGTGGAACTAGGCCACCATAGCATGGCGAGTAGGGACTAGTCGTGTAACGCCCGCAGAATCGGGCTAGTCAATTTAGAGATAATAAGTGTTAAAAATGACTTTTGATAGAAATTTATTTAGAATAAATAGTCTTAACCAAAGTACAGTATATGTCATAAGAATTCCGTACATATAAAGAATGTTGAAATCCGACTTATAACGAAGAAGTTATGACCCGTCGAAGTTTTACGACTAAACCGACACAACGTCGCGTATCGTAAAAAGTGAATTTTTGATAAACTACTTTTTAGCCTTAGCGATCTAAACGAAAGTCGTAGTATACGTTAAACCTAGAGCGTGCATATAGAGAACGTCCAAATCTGAATTCGTTAGAGGAAGTTATGATTTTTCTAAAATTTAGCATAGCAGTATGCAGTCCGGAAATCGAATTCTAGATCGATCATTTAGCCGACATAATCTAAACGAGAATCGAAGATCTCTTTAATAGAATCTCAACGATATAAATACAGACGAAACGGACTTCGAATGATAAAGTTATGAATTTTTAACGGACTTTACCTGTATAAGTCTGTTAAAATATAACTTTAAAAATAAAGTCAATATTAGCTGACGGAGTCTACACGAAAGTTGTATATCACGTCAATACCTACGTATGGATATTAAAAAACGTAAAAAACGGAGCTCGTATTCGAAAGTTACGGAATTTAGAAGATAATTAAATTATGGGTTAAAATGTGAGGCTGACACGTGGCACAATCTCAGCCCCACATTTTTTCCCATGGCTTCGCATGCGATCTTGACACGTGCCGACGGTACACCCAGTGTAAGGCCTGGTACACCCCGCATACCGAGTACACCCCGAGTACATCAACATTACGCACCGCATAACTCGATCTGACAGCCTCTAAATAGAGTCATTTTTCCTCATTTTTCTTCACACCTTTTCTCAACTTCTCTCCAAAATACCCCCAGACCCTCTAAGTTTTTCCCTAACACCTCCTAGGTGTTAGAAGCGAGTCCCGTAGTGCCAGAAGGCCCCGAGAAGAAGAGCTTTCGTCTCAGAAGTTCTGCACGCGTAGAGCCCGGTTCTTCGCTAAACCCCCTTATAAGTGAGTTATGCTTACCCTATTTTAAGTATAACTTATGTTTAAGTTCATTATCATTATTATGAGCCTATAAACAAGATTTATCAGTGATTCCAAGTCGTTATACCGATTGATCTACTTACAGGGATGATGTCTAGGTTGTGATTTAGTGAGGTGTTAAAGTGGGATTTCCAAACAGTATACTTCGTATACCAAACGGACCCTACCTCCGATATGATCCTACCTGGTTGTTCCTTACTTGATAGATCGTGAAGTAGACTTGGAGTTAATGACAAATCTAGAATAATAATTAGTCGCAATAAATATTAGACTAAAAACTTAGTGATAATAATGCTAGGTTTCGTCGAAGGAAAAGACGATTGTTAGAAGCGAAGCGCTGTCCGAATTTTGAGTCATCACTTTAACAAGTGAGTGCATAGTTACTTTCATCTTACATATAGATATGAAGTATTTAATATAAATTACGTGTTATATGTGCCTATTATCTGTGTTCTTGATATCTATGTCGGATGAACGATTTATACATGTGTTACATAATTTAAACTATATATGTATTTTTATATCTATAAATATATTGGGTAAATATGGGTAGATGAATGATGAGAGATGAAAGATGATATAGATGATGAGAGGTGAAAGATGATGAGAAGCCTTGACTTTAACGATGATCCAGTCATCTTGTAGAGTATAGATGACGACCACAGACTATAGGTGTTTGTGAACGCTAGCAGGCTCGCAACCTGTAGGTGTTTGTGAACAACATGTTCACCAGATGTACTCTAAAAACCCTGGTAACTATGGGCTTAGTACCTTATAAGTGAACGTTGACAGCTATGGATTTAGTGCCCTATAGATGAATCATTGGCAGCTATGGACTTAGTTCCTAATAGATAACATTGGCAGTTATGGACTTAGTGCCTAATAGATAACATCGGTAGCTATAGACTTTGTGCTTGTTGGATAAACCCTGACAGTGATAGACTTCGTGCCTTTTCCTTAAGACAATCCTTGGGAACGAATGAATGAAGAATAGATGATTCTTACGGTAGATCCTTAAGAATAAAGAAGATAATAGGGATGGGAAGTTGGGTTAATTGTTTGATGATTAAACATAATAATTATATTATTATGGGTTGAAAACCCTATGTACTCACCAGGTTTCCCAACCTGACTCACTCAGTTTATTTGTATCACAGATGTCGATACGAAGATACATTACACTAAGAGATTAAAGGAGATGTAAATCATTAGTGTAAATGAATGCAAGGTCTGTTTATGCTTATGTTTCGGTATTGTCGATGACATCCCAATATTTTAATATAAACAAAATACATTTCTTCGAAAATGCTTTGATAATATTTTTAACATGTTTTCTGGGACCAAAAATTCCGCAATATTATTCTTTAAAACGGATACTCTGATTTTTAAATAAGAATAAATAAAATTTTTAAAATGACCGTGAATTTGGGGATGTCACTGTTGGTATCAGCATTAGTTTAAGCGAATTAGGAATTTATAGGAAATTTCTAGACTTAAAATTAGAATGCTAAGTGATGATTGTGAGATGAGTGTCTGCTATATTTAGGATGTATGTCTGAATACACACGAGCACTAGCTTATTTAGGGGAGATGCTTAAATTGTTTTTATGTGCTAAATGATTTATGCTATAATATGTCTTATATGCTTTATGATGTT